GCGACCCCGCACTCAGTTCCCATCCCCTGGCCTGCCGGGCCAGGGCGGACGTTGGGGAGACTGGCGCGCACCCCGCAGGCGCCTAGGTCCCGGGTTGGCGAGGGCGTCCCTGTCCCCGTGGGCGGGGGCTGCAGCCTGGGCGTGTGCGGTGGGCGGAGCTGGTCAGAGCCGACAGGCAAACGGCAGACGCACGGGTGGGCGACTCCGCTCCGCTCGCTCCCTCTCCGGGAGCAGGTGAGTCCCGGGGTAGAGGGCGCGCAGGGGGTCGGGTCTCCCAGCCTTTGATAAGCCGAGCCCAGCCTGCTGGGGGGCGCCGGACTGGGCGGGGAGTGACCCCGGGGGCTTCCAAGAGACCAGGGCTCAGTAGGGCAGCGCGCAGGCGGGCCAGGGAAGCGCTCTACCCTCGCAGCCTCTGCGGCCTCGCCTGGAACGTGGTGGTGGACAGGCACGCGGCCACTCCCGCGGAGCTGTGCGGAGGAGGGGACGGGTACCTAGAAAGTGCCTAGGTGTCGGGACGGTAGAACACAGACCTGCTGTTCGCTGACATTTCAGGACACCAGGCAGGCTCCTCCATTCTTTCCCCATTGGGAGATTGATTTTATTGTATTTTTGGTTACTTTCCCTTGACTGATGGGGAAGGCAGGCAGCAGTTGTGGGGGGTTGGTCCCCTACCCTCAGGGATTGTAGGTGCTTCTTTGCTTCGAGGGCTGTGGGGAACCCAGGCCGGAGACACCATTGTGCTGACCTTGCAACCTGCCTCTCCCCTCCCGAATCTGGGGTGAATCTGACAGAGTTAACAAATCCTGCCCTTACTGGGCGTTTCTGAGGAATGCGTGGGAATGAGGGGCAGTTTAGTATGAGGTTCCTTGCAGGGCAGATCTGCCAGAAGGGTCTGAGGCGGCAGTGTGGCCCCGGCCGGGAATGAGGGGGAATGAGGCGAGGACTCCGCTGATCAGGTGAGGACCAGGTGAGGTCCGGAGCCCGAAAGTAGAAAGTACGGACACTTGACTGGCCAGGCACTTGCGCAATCAGAGCTCCCACTTCTGCCCAGGGGGCTGCGTTTTTTGTGCTCTGTCACAGTGAGGGGTGTTGGGCGATCCCCAGCCACGGGAGGGAGGCAGCCTAGCTGTGAATGTTAGATTATATGGCAAGTGATATTTGCAACTGCTAATAAATAGATTTTACTGATCTCTGGTTAATTTTGGCCCTACTCTGTAAAAAGTGCCTCTCAGTACTAGATCATGAAGAACATGTCTATGTGTGTGTATATGTATTGATAAATAGACATGACTATCATTGGATGTAAAAACAATCTTGATAGGTATACGGGAGTTATTCCTCTGTCAAAACTGTTTTTCAAAATGGGACCCAATGATCATATCAAAATCACATGGTAAAATATGGATCCTTGGGTCCAATCCCAGGCTCACTTAATCACTGCATCTCCTGGTGAATCTACATTTTAAACATGCTTCCTGAATAATTTTGATGTTTATTGAAGGTTGAGAATTGCATGTTGGATTAGTGATGAACAGAATTTTTTTTTTTTTAAAGATTTTATTTATTCATACAGAACTGGGGTACAGGCCAGAGATGCAGAGGGTGAGAGGATTCACCAGAGACAGTGGGGAGCAGAACAGGTAGATCAACGAAGTACACTGCTGAGGGGAGCAGCGGGCGGGTCAGGAGAGGTCTGCCACGCCATGTGGTCACCTCTAGGGCAGGCGGGGATCGAACTCATGAGGAAGTGGTTTTAGTTTCTCAGTGCAGTGCTTTAACCCACTGCGCCACCGGGGAGGGCCGATGAACAGAATTTTTAAAAAAACTGTGTTTGGGAACTGCAGGCTGCTTCAGTGACTTAAGCAGAGGCTCGGAGAGGCTCATAGCAGGGGCGGTGGGCAACCCGTGACCTGGCCAGGTGCATGTGTGTATACCTATGATGTGACAGGAACGTGCTCTGTGCTGATGACTCCGTCTTTGCATACTTGGCAGTCTTCAACTTGTGTTTGAGTTGAATGAGAAATGAAGCTAGCTGGGCAGGTAGGGGCTGAGACCAGGAAGGAACACTATAAACCCTGAGCCCAGGACCTGAAGAGGCACTGCTCAGTGGCATTTGCTGCTGACTGGATTTCTGTTCCTGAACACTGAAGAAAACAGCCGCACTTTCTAATCATCATGCTTTGTAGTGTGAGGTCAGTATGCCCTCAAACAGATTTGGGTTTGTGTCTGCATCCTATCAGTTGTTACTTTGAGATGCTGGGCAAGTTGCTTTAAGTTTCTGGGTCTCAGGTCCTCCAGGCTTCAGTCTTGGGGTAAAAACAGCCATGAACCTGGCCCCTAGTCTTCCCTGGAATCAAAACAGGAGGCATGATCCCTGAGTAGCATTTGTCCCTTTGCTTTGCAGATGTTGTCACTGAGTCTTCTGGAACCTTCTTAGAACCACCATGAACACCTCACACTTTCTGACCTTGCTCCCAGGATCCTTGCAGGCTCAAAACAGGAGCAAGTCAAAGAGCATCCTGTACAACTTCTCGGACCACTGCCAGGATTCTGTAGACCCTACAGTCTTCATTGCCACCTCCTACAGTATCGAGACCATTGTTGGGGTCCTGGGCAACCTCTGCCTGATGTATGTGACCATTAGGCAGAAGGAGAAGGCAAACGTGACCAACCTGCTCATTGCCAACCTAGCGTTTTCAGACTTTCTCATGTGCCTCATCTGCCAACCACTCACGGTCACTTATACCATCATGGACTACTGGGTCTTCGGTGAGGCCCTTTGCAAGATGTCAGCCTTTATCCAGTGTATGTCAGTAACTGTATCCATCCTCTCTCTTGTCCTCGTGGCCCTGGAGAGACATCAGCTCATCATCAACCCATCAGGCTGGAAGCCCAGTATCTCCCAGGCCTATCTGGGCATTGTGATTATCTGGCTCATTGCCGTATTCCTCTCCCTGCCCTTGCTGGCCAATAATGTGCTGGAGAATGTCTTTCATAAGAACCACTCCAGGGCTTTGGAATTTCTAGTGGACAAAGTAGTCTGTACTGAGTCCTGGCCCCTGGCCTACCACCGCATCATCTACACCACTTTCCTGATGCTCTTCCAGTACTGCATCCCCTTGGCCTTCATCCTGGTCTGCTACACACGCATCTACCGGCGCCTGCGGAAGCAGAGGCGGGTGTTCCGCAAGGGCTCACGGGCCTGGCAGATGAAGCGGATCAATTGGGTTCTCCTGGCCATGGTGGCCACTTTTGCCGTGCTCTGGCTGCCTCTGCACGTGTTCAACAGCCTGGAGGACTGGTACCATGAGGCCATTCCCATCTGTCACAGCAACCTCATTTTCTTGGTGTGCCACCTGCTCGCCATGGCCTCCACTTGCGTCAATCCTTTCATTTATGGTTTTCTCAACACCAACTTCAAGAAGGAGGTCAAAGCCCTGGTGTTGACTTGTCAGCAGAGCACTCCAGTGGAGGAGTCTGAGCACCTGCCTCTGTCTGCAGTGCACACAGAGGTCTCCAAAGGGTCTCTGAGTCTCAGTGGCAGGTTCAATGCCATTTAGCCAGGTCTAGTTTACCAGGTCTAGTTGCCATGTTTACTGCCAGGCTTCTTCACGTAGCTACGTGGGCAAACTGCAGACTGGGCGTGGCGCTCCATCTTTACTGGCTTTCTGGGGTTCAGATGGAGCCCATTTTGGCATCTGTTTGCATCGTGAAGCCTGACACTCAGATGGCTCAGCCATTTGTTCCTGGGAGGATTCTGAGTCTGGATTCTGCAGGCCACACTGCTCCATGCTGTTTGAGCAGATGCCAGAGCTTAACACAGGCAGAGTTCATTCTGGTAACTCAGCAACGATGCTTTGTGTGGAGACTCAGGGGTTTCACTCCCACCGGTGAGATGGTGAGGGCACTGAGGGCGGGCGAGTGAAGGGGCTGTGGCTTGGTCAGCCCCTAGCCTCTGTGAGAAGGGATATTTGTGGATGGGCTTTGTGTGTGAAAATGAATTCTCTGGAGACAGGGCAAGAGGATCTATGTTTTATCATTAGCATAGCCAACTGCAAGCAACAGCTCCTGGTAGCTTTAGGTGTTCACACTCTGAAAATCTGTCGTGAGCTGCAGAAATTCAAGAGTCAACTCTGCTCCTTTTTGGTTTTTCTGATCTTTAATCTTGGATAGAGATATGCTGCCAGTGCCTTTCCTTGATGAGATGGTGAGCACTTTGAGGGGACAGCTGTGTTCTTATAGCTCTGTGTCCTCCATGTCTCGGATGGACCCTGGCATGGGGTGAGCTCCTGAGGTTTACCATGGCAGACTGAGGCGCCCTGCTGAACCCTCGGCTGAGCATGGGTGCTCTGTGTGTTCCGTGGTCCAGCACGGGAAGGGCTCATGCCACTGCAGCCATATTCTGTTGCTTGCCTAGGACCTCTCTGAACCAGGCAACTGGCTAGGGACTCTGTGACACTCCCTGGTGTTGACCCCGCAGAAGCCAAGTACTCATGGCCTCCTTCCTTCCAGATTCTTCATGGAGCTGACTGGCCCTGAGTGATGTGTCACTGTTTTTCCAAACCTTGCCAGGAGTTTGGGCCTCTTAGTGGTCTTCAGTAGTGGCAGGAGGAAGAAACCCTTGGAGTGTGGTTTAATGGGACCGTAAGGAGCCAGAAAAAATGGGGAAAGTGCTATGATAAGTATAAATATCCCCTCAGGGGGTTATGGTCCAGTCTTCTGGATGCTGAGCTGGGGCCAAGGTTTCATCTGTGTGCACACATGACAACCTGTCCTTGCTGGGCATGGAATGCCCAGGTTACTCCTGGGCCATTTTCAATGGGATATTGAGCCTGGCTCTGCCTGCTTAGACGCCCCGGGGACAATGCCTGGCCCCATGATAGCCTCCCAAGGCAGGATGTTCAGCTGCCCAGAGCCCCCGAGAAACCTTACTGTGAGGCTCCTAGGGCTGGCTGCACCAGGAGATCCGGCAAAGGGCCAGGCAGCAGGCGCCATCTCTGACCGTCTCTCTGGTCTGGTCCTTGATCAAAAACATGTGCAACTGATACCCTAGACAAATACTTTTTGAGCCTGGAGATGGGGGGCCTTAGGCCCTTTGGGTCCCATGCAATTGCCTGGAGTTTGTGGCTCATCACTCATCTCAGTGCCAGAACAAGGGTACTAGCATGCTGTGAACTGAGGGGCCACGCTGGGAGTCTAGTGGAGGTGCTTGGCACTAAGAATCGGGGTAGTGGTTGGAAAGCTCACGCAGCATCTTCTGTGCTCCTTCACCTTGCTCAGCCTGAAACAGCCTGCCCGGCTGGCTCTCTCCTACTCCTGGTTCCTAACGATCCTTGGGCCACTAGGTTACTCAGCACACTTCTCAAAGTATGCTCAGATCAGCAGCCTCAGCCTCACATGGAGGTGATTAGACAAGCGGAATCCTTCCACGCCAGAACTATTGAGTTGGAATCCATATTTTATCTGTATTTAGGTTAATACAGATAAATACACATTCAAGTTTGACAAGCCCCGCTCTAGGGATCTGATTGCCTTGGGGTGGGGAGCCACCCTGGAGCACCTGTGGACACCTGAGAAACTTTAACTCAGGAGCGAGGTTTAAAGTGGTGGTGATGAAAAGGTGGATTCCCTTTGGCTGTTTGTTCTCATCTCTGTTCACATGTGGACACGTTTCTTGTGAAGCCTTTTTCATTCCTGCAGTATATACTTGACAAATAAACACTTTGCCTAGTTATATTCTCGGTGAACTTGCCTTTCTTTATTCTGTTCTGTTTCACTAAAAACTGCACCACCAGCATTTTTCTGTCTTGCTGGATGTTATTTTTGACAGCTGATTAAGAATTTAGAAATGCTCTAGCGAAAGCTGGTACCGGTAAACAGGATTTCTCTTTAGCCCCTAGAAAAGCTTTCTCTTGTCCAGGAAGTAGACTTCTGGGTGGAGCCCATCTGAGATGGCCGGAAGGGGGTCACCCACAAAGACTCCCTGGAATCTTTAGTGGGTGCTAAGCCGCATTGAATCCTGCTGGTTTGAGCTGAAATTCTTGCCCTTGCTTTTTCAAGGAATGACCTTGATTTGTCTTTTCCCCTATAAAAGTAATCCTATTCATCTTTCAAAATACACAAAAACAAAACCAAAAAAATATGTTCCACCGCCAAAGATAATCTGTTTGCAGTTTGGAGGATCATTTCTTTAGTTTTTATAGACATAGTGCTATTTACCTAAAAATAGTTGAGGTCATATTTATATGTATACATATTTATATATGATATCGGAGGATCATTTATATCTTGTCTTTTGCTTAACTATATGTCACCTTTTATTTGTTCTTTCAACAAATATGTCAAACCCACAGGTGCTGAGGTTTAAAAATAAAAGATACTGTCTCTGTTCTCATGGAACTGACAGTCCAGTGACTACATCTATCCTGTGTTTTTAACCATCGGTTGTGACGTATTTAGATGTTTCTAGAACTGTTACACATAGTTGTGACGAATGTCTAGGCAGGACTTTTTCTGTATCTGAAATTATTTCCTTAGGACAGATTACCAGAAGGGGAATGAATGCTTCAAGAGACATGGGCATTTTTCAGGGCTCTTGATGTGACTGTTAAACTGATTTACAGGGAGGCTAGAATGATTTGCACTCCCTGACCAGGGCTGGCTTCAGTGTACCTTGCCCACTGATGAGGGATTGTCACTCATGGACAGACTGTTGTTTATTACATTGCATCTTCACTCACCTATTTGGGATATCACCCCAGCACCATCAGTTTTCCTGGTTCCCCTTTATACAAAAGTCCTCCAAAGTATTGCCTAATTTTAAAGTCTCTGCTTCCTCTCCCTCCTGTGCTCTTTTGTACTCACCTTTCCATCCAAAAGCTCTTGCAAAGTGGTCTCCGTGTTGCCAACACCCATGTCTGATTCGTAATCTCCTCATAGGTGGCCAATCCGTGTCCTTCTGGCAGTTGATCAGACCCTTCTTCTTAACACTCTTTCTGCTTTTTCAGGTCCCCACACTCTTTCTCTGCTGTCTCCCCGCTTGGGCACCCCTCAGGCTCCTTCCGTGGATTCTCATTTCCCTGGCCTGGGATGTCCCCAGGGAGTCAGGGAGGTCCTCAGCTCTCCTTTCCGAGGTGGACTCTTCTAGTCTGCTGGCTTTAAGCACCACTGAGTGTTTAAATGTCTTCTGCTCCCAAGTGGGACTCTCCAGTATGAATTTCTCCCTGCCCCGGGCTTGTATATCCCTGAGTTATGTTTACTGGACATTCAATTGGCATCTCAAATTTGAAGCATAAGAAAGCAGACGATTTGCCTCCCTACCTGTTCTCCCTCAATCTCCATCATTTCAGTAAATAGAAGCTCCCTCTTTTCATTGGTTTGGGCCATTGGTTGGGGTCAACCTTCTGTTCACACTCCACTTCCAGTCAGTCCATCTGCAAGTCCTATAGTTCTGCCTTTAAGATGTATTCATCTCACCTGAGACCTCTGTCCTCAGGTCTCACCACTATCATCTCCAATGAGATCATTGCCACAACTCTCTGGTCCCAGTGACTTTTGGAAGCCTGAGTTAGATCTCTCCATATCTCTGTCCAAGTCCCTTCATTGACTTTCTGTCCCTCTCAGAGCGAAATTCACGTTCTGTGGCTTGCCTGAGCTGACCATCTGTCCTCCCGCCTCATTGCCCACCCTCCCTGTTGCCCACTTTCTGCAGCAGTGCTGGCCTGTCCACTGACTCCTAGATGTTCTGACACGCTCCCTGTTCCTCCCTCAGCCCTTTGTACTTTCTGCTCTCGCTACCCTGATATCAATACATTCCCTCTCTTTCTCCCTTACCTTGAATGAGCCTTATCAGATGATTACTTCCTTAACCACACTATAAAAACAACCCTCCTCACTCTGCATTCCTACCTCATTCCACTGGACTTAGTGCCTGACACCTTGCTTTGTATGTGCTTCACTGCTGAGTCTCATTCTCTCATTAGAACTGAGCTCCACGAAGCAGGGACCTGGTGTGTTTTATTCACTGTCCAGCACTCAGAAACATTAATTGATGAGTGGTGCATGATACTTCAACCTCTTATTTGTGGAGTGCAGGCATTTCATTTTGTGGATGTTGGTCCTGGGTTTAACAGCTACTGCTGGCTCATGGTGTGACCCTGAGGAGCAGCTTTTGTACCTTGTGTTGTGAACCTGTGACACTGTTGGCTGCTGTGCAGTTTGCATACTGTGCTGGGCACTTTCCATACATTGCTTTCCCTCAATCCTGAGATTGGCTAGATGAAGAAATTGAATCTAAGGCATTAAAAACAACCACAACAACAACAACAACAACAACAACAACAAAACTGCAATCTTTCAAAAAGAGTCAGATTTCGGCCCTCCTTGGTTAAAGCACAGCACAAAGAAGCTTAAGCCACTTCCGCAGGAGTTCAATTCCCGCCTGCACCGGAGGAGGACCACATGGCTTGGCAGACCTCTCCTGACCCGCCCGCTGCTCCCCTCAGCAGTGTACTTCGTAGATCTGCCTGTTCTGCTCCCCACTCTGTCTCTGGTGAATCCTCTCACCCTCTGCATCTCTGGCCTGTACCCCAGTTCTGTATGAATAAATAAATAAATCTTAAAAAAAAAAGAGTCAGATTTGAAATCCAGTATGATGGACCTAAAGTCTATGCTTTGAACTGAAAGGTTGACCAGATGACCTCTAAGTTGCTTCCCAGCTTTCAGCTAAAGAGTTTGAAATTTATAGGCAATGGAGAGGCACTGAAGGTCTTTAAGCAGAGAAGTGGGTGCCTCCAGGTCAGGTTGGTGGGGTCAGCTCCATCTGAAGTGCATGGAGGTGATAGCAGAGGACTGTGGTAGTCCCCCAAGGAAAATGATGAAAACAGAAATGGTTGTGGAGAGAAGAGAGTGGGTTAGAAAGATATTCAGGTATTGAATGGACAGGGTGTCTTGGGTATGGGATCAAGAATGATAATTCCCAGACTTGGGAGAGTGGGTGGGTGCCTGGTCAGTGAGATGGAACAAGGGCTTTTACTAAGGGGAGGGGAGTTTGGAAGCTTTGTGTTTGAGGCACTTTTAGGCATACAGATGTCTGGGCAGGTAATTCAATCTGGAGGTCTGGAGAGAAATTTGGTCAAGGCCTGACCCAGCGATGCTGATAGGCAGGCCTGGGATGTGGCTAAAGTAGGGTGTGGGCTGATCTGGAGCTGGGCCATGTGCCACAGGCACTCCAGTTTCCCAGAGCTGGATCTGGGGATAGGACCTCGAGGTCAGCCAACAAGTTGGGGTCCTGAGACAGCCTGGGACAGTTCCAATAAAGAGGCCCCGGTGGCTAGGGTGAAGTAAGCCAGGCAAAAATGCTATTTTTCCAGAGGTGACACAATGTAAATTATCTTTCATCCACATTCTGTGGCTTCACTTTTTTAGAGAGTCAATGGCAATTGCAAGGTCAAGCTTCTTGGCTAGAAGTTAAGAGTTGTTGATGGGATTTAGGCTGGTAAGATCTGGAAGTTTCTCAAGAAAGAAATTTTGAATTTTACACCCTGCTGAGTGTTGGCTTGGGGGGAAGAAGAATGAGCCCAGCTCTTGTCTCTCTCTTGAAATGGATTATGCAGACTGAAAGCATCCTTGGTGACAAGGCCCTGGGCCTGCCCTGGCCTGGTCTGGCTTCTTCCCAGACTGTCTCTTGAAGGATCTGACTCATCTGATAACTGCTTGCAAAAACACAGATGTAGATGGGGTTTGAGCTCCTGGGACCCAGGAAGACACTGGAAAAGGGTTTGCAAGGCTCATTAACATGTCTTCTTAGCCAATAACAGCAGGCACTTCCTACACTGGGCATTGGCCAGGGCATTTGCAGGGTAAACTTGCCAATGAACCTTAGAACAGGGGGGTGCTTGAGAGTGTAGCTGCGTAATCATGGCCCTTTGAGTTGTTTAAAGGTCACCATTTACTTGAAACTGATTTCTGTTAACTCTGAAAATAGTTTACTAGTGCAATTGGGTACCAGCACAAAGCTCTCTTAAACTACATTTCCGTTCATTCATATAGCTGTTAATGTGGCATTGGATTAGTTATCATCTGACCGCCAAGGAAGCCATACTGAGAACAGGGTGTGTATTCAGAATAAAGAGCCTCAACTCACTGGTGAAAATCCTGTGGTAGCATGTCTCGTCAAGTGGCTCTCTCTGTGACAGCCGGCAGTCTGCTGCCACCTTGGATACGTCATTTGTAGCCTCTTCTGGGTTTGATGACTTGAAGGTATGGGGTGGACCTACCTGGGATTCCCCAAAACTGAGAACTTCTTTTCTTACCCTTTCTTTTATACCCCTACCTCTTCAACTCAGTTACTGGGAGCAAGTGGACAACTTGCACTTGAGCTGGGCAGGTGTGAGCACCAGTCCTTCCCCAGGTTCCTGTCAGACTGTGCTACCAGTGGTCACATCCTGGTGGGGTGATGGGATCAACTTTAGAATCCACCATATTGGGTTTCAAATCTGGCTCCTTCTGGAAGCTAACAGCTTTTTTAAATGCCCTTAGCCTCACATCCTGGTATCGGGAGTACTGAATGTTCTCATCAGTATAGTTTACTAGGGGCCAGCACTACCTTTTGTCACAGTGCACAGCTTTAACATGGTTAAATGTAACATGGTCTATAGAGGATGGGGCATTATACCACCATGCATCCTGGGGGCCTACAGCTGTGGGCAGTTGTCTCAGCTTTAGGGAGGGATTTATGAAGCTGGTATTCATTGGCATCTTCTCTGTAGTTGGTGTGATCTCAGAGAAGGTGTTTTCCTGCGAGCTCCAAGGAGGGTGGCTCAAGGGGAACCCCAGCCATG